AATGGTATTCAATCTGGCTCAGATAGCACTGCAGGTTAACCCAGCAGCCGCTACAGTACCTGGCAGCTGCTGCATAATGTCATAGCCACAACTTGTGGGCGGGCAGCTACCGAAACACTTTGGCTAGCTACCGTCACATTATACTTTCTCCAGTTACTGGCCCTCACAGTGAATGCAAAAGTGACACTGTGCCCGGGGATATCCTGGTTCAAAAAGCGAGCTCGTCTGTCGCCGAACTGCAGACTGCAGCGCATCTCTGGCGCACTTTGCTAGCTTGCTAATGTTCTTCATCCCTGGCCTCACAGGGATGCTGCACATTGTTCAAACATCTGTCGTTTTCTTACCCAAAATATGAGGTTTAGAAAAACCAAGACGGTTTTGGATGACGTAATTCCACACTGCCCCATGGTATCGTGACTTCTGAAATTAAAACTGTAACTATAAAAAATAGATATAGATGCACCTGCACCTTTGCTGTTACAATAATAAAATGGCTTCGGCGGTCCTACACCACACTGTGCAGATTCTTCTGAGCTTCTGGGCCAGTGAAAACGCCGCAAAGAAGGTCACGTGCTCCGATGACATCACCATTCAAAACAAACAGTCTGATGGAGGATGTCTGAACATTGAGCCCTGCAACACTGCATGCTTTATACCCAGTGCGCCTTGTGTATTATATGCATTTGGACTTGTTTTTGCTATTGATTTATTGATTTATTCAATGCAAACCCGCACGCTTTATTACACAGTGCATCATATAATTATCAGTTGGACTCCTTAAGATATCATTTGGCTTTACACCACGGAATGGATTTAAGGTATACTTTGGGATTTAATGTTTCATAAGAAATGAGAGGAATTTATGCAAAAGCAGCAAAGAATGTGCTTATAGTACATCCATAGCTTTTACCACCACTGAGTGTCATCTGTCAAAGTCTTCCTGTATGGCAGTTCAGAGCTTTTTGGAAACAGATTAACTTTATCCACACATTAGGTGCTGATTTCTTAATGGCAGGGCATGAATTTAGCCAGTAGGCCCATAATAGCTCAGCTTTGATCTCTTTAGTGCAGGTGCACAGCTTGTATTGATGCTGGTAGAATGATTTGTTTCAGGATTTTACCATTTTTCTGCAGCTATGGCATCACTCTTTAGTGTTAAGATGGGTTCATGTGTAGTATGAGTTTTTATGCCAGAGGGTGGCAGTGTAGCATTGCTAGTTTTACGATGGCAGACAATTTGTGAGAGGAAGCTGTACTAAGGGTAAGCAGTTGATAAAAACACCCCACTACCACATGGTTAATCCTGATGCTGTGTACATTTTTCAGATGTTCAGTCTAAGCAGTCTGAATTAAATTATAACATACGCAATGCACCCACATTGTCCCTTGGCAAAATTGAATGGAATTAATACACGTGATATATCCCGTACTTTCTTTGCTTACAACTATGAGATCTGTTTATCTCCTATGGGGGCAAGATTGATTACTCAAGTGAAAATAAGTGCCTTTGGGGCACTCAATCAGTAATGATTTGGCCTGGTGCCCAGAGCCTTGGTTTTATTGAGTTAAAGCTTTCTACATTTGTCTCTGTCAGCTTTTGGTGTTCAAACTGAGCAAGAGTGATAACTTACACATTCAAGTAGAAGCCAGGACTATTACTGTTGACACACAACATGCATCCACATTGTGAATTATGCATCAAGCTTACCTGTTGGCTATAAACTGAGTCATTATTAAAACTGAACAATACAAAACAAAGAAACATGCAGATTCACAAGGTCGACGAAGACAGGATACTAAGGATATTAAAGTTTCAAATATGATTAAATGTGATTTTGGATCAGATGCTTACAACTCCTAAACGTCCACTGATTATGTCAGTGGCTGCGTTGAAGTTTGTACATAGCCAATGAAAATCACAGATTTTTGTACCATACATATTAACAGTGACGGTTAATATGCTGAGTCACCTTGGTTAAGTCTAGAGGATAGCTTCTGTTAGTGAAAAATGTCAGATGAAAAGCACAACATTAATTTTCATACGTGATAGTTAAAATTGCCAGTTCAATGTAGCGACAAAAATGTTAAATTGTCATAAATCACTGATACAAAGTGACTTGTCATGACAGGATATCACTATTTGTATGGTAAACAGAGCAATGGCCTTCTGTCTGTTTGTTCAAATTAAAATGCCCTCACATGACATGTGAAACCACATTTACAACCATAGCTTTAATTAGTGAAAAATAAAACTTTCCAAGAAACACCTGCATGGAAACAAATGCTGTTGTGAGTGATATTATGAATCATGTTGCTGAAGCTTTTTTTTTCAAGAAAGAGATTAGTGATCCCTTAAGTAAATTGGTCACACAGAGGCAGTTTAGGATAACAGGCCATGATTTTGATGACTTTGTAGCTATTAAAAAATGTCAGATGGCCATATAATATAGTCTCTCTGATTTAAGAAAATAAAAATATCAGTATATAAAATCCAATTTAACCTATTCAAGCAAGCCATTGTCTAGTGGCTACTGATTGCTTTTGGAATTTAGCCCCAGCATTTGATGGAACTGATTCCCCATGCTGAATATAACTTAGTTGTTGTTGTCTTCTGTTGTTTTTGAATTTTTTAATATTCCCCCCTGCTAGATACTATACATAACAAAGCTAAAAAGCACTTATTTTCCAGTAGAGTATTTAAGCCTCATTACCTTTTCAAGTGAATATTTGAACACAGCAGATAGTTTAGTTTTCTCTTAAATTACCATCTACAAATTGAAGCCATTACAAAGCTTGGGCGACTGCTGGATACAATTTAATGTACAGTGAATGTACGAAATAGTAGGGACATCATTTTGATATTCACTGTAACTGCAAGTCTTTCTTTAACTCATCTTAGCTTCCTCCCCTCCTGTCTAATTTATAGAGATTTATTTTGTGGAGATATATTATTATAATGACTTTTGCCTGGATTCACTCCAACCCAAAATAAAAAAAGAGAATAACATCATATCTGTACAGTAATAACATTTTCTTTTCCTGGAATTTAAATTTAAAATGGTATTCTCTTTGGCAACGACCCTCCTGTGAATTTAGAGACACAGAGCTGTTCATTTGTGTAGGTCGACAGAACAAGGGATTACTAAATCAGAGCATGTAAAACGGAATGAGAAGAATCAAGTTTATTGCCAAGTAGGTTTCCACATTCAAGGAATTTGCGTTGGTATTTTGGTGCATTGCAAACTTTAAAGTAAACAGAGAGCACAGAGATGATAAAATGAATCTTTCATTCCCCCAGGAGTAAGGAAGTATACGCCGTGGGAGATCTGCGCACACTCAATTTGTGTGGAGACATCACACAACATGTTTGGATCTGCCATTTTAATTCATGTGCGGACAGTCATATCAACTCATTCATGCACGCACAAACACACACAAACTAATAATTACATTTTATCTACACATGCTGCACTGTGCGACAGATTAACATGCAGTTACCTGAGCTTTCGGATGAATTAACAAAAGACAAGTGTTTATTTCTCCCAACAGCTGTGCTATCAGTAAAAATAAAAAGCTATGGCTGATTCATTACTCTACAATACAGTACAGAATTTTAGCTCTTAAAAAGTGTTTTCCTTGCAAAGGCTGAGGAACAGTTTGTCCTGTTAACCAAAAAGAGCTTTTTAACCAAAAGGAACACTCAAAAATATGTTTTTAAGTTACTCATGCTCCTCAGCTGTGTTTTGAATTCAACTTTGAATGCTCTTCTTTAAAGGGACTACTGTAACCTATTCAGCAGGATTGTTTATCAAATTGTACCCAATTTTCCAGCCTACTAACCTACTTGTGTACAATGTCTTGCACCTGAAAGTTTCAGGATCTCAAGGCTGTTGTTTGACAAAATAATGATAGCTTAAGATGTGTTTTTATGGAGAAAATAAAACACTATTTCTTGTCCTCCACAAACCCAGCCTATAGGCTCTAAAATGAAAACGTCTTAACCTGATTAGACTTTTGTGCTTGTATGTATTAGTAGTATGGAGGCTATACGTAGCTAAAATGCAGTTTAATATGACAATGAAATTGTCACTTGATGGTCATTTTGGGTGACTGTGATTACATTACAAAGTAGTAGAAACACATCTCATTATAACGCAGTGCAATGGCACCACAAACTACAGCCTCCAAAATGACCCAAAGGTTGAATGAACACCTCTCTAAAACAGTTTCAACAAAAACATTATACAGGACGTTTGTATAATACTCCAATAATTTTTGTTAGGTGTACATAATAAACAGGCAACTGTGTTGTTCTTTATTCCGAGTGTAATCTTTTGTCTAAGTCACTTATTGGGCCGAAATTGTGGAGTTCACCAGATATCAGACAACTCTCATCTCTTTCACCTGCTTATACTCGTTTCCTCCCACCACTCACTACTTTGAACGCAGAGCACATTCCTCACCTTCTCATTGATGTAAAGCAGCAGACAAGGCATTGTGGGAGATATATTGAAATAGCCTACCCGTTACCATCAATGGATTAGCCCAAGGCAAAGAAGCTACAAGGGCCATTTCACTTTCCCGTTATTGATCGAGAGAACAGATCATCCCCTTATGCAAAGGAGAGGAAAAGTACAAACGATAATATCGATTTCATGTCGAAATATTCAAACTAGAAAGTGTTATTTATATAAGCTGCCTACATTCGTATTTATATAAGTGTTATTTTGGAAATGCCTTTAGCACAAAAGCGGGAGAAAAAAAAATCTTACTCATGCTGAACAATCAGTTGTTGGGCCTATAGATAAATAATGGCTGTGAACGCCACATGTAGCTATCAGACCTGGAGGACAATAGAAGGAAGCAAACTCAATATTAAAGTTTTCATAACGTTAAACCTAGACCAACATATAGGCTAGCTGCTCTCTGTTCATTTTAGAACCGTAAAAACGTGCACCGTAGTTAGTTTAGTAGAAATTAGTTTTCTCTAGACATCTACATTTTCTCCGGAGATTTAGGAAAATGATAGAAGAAACCCAGAGGTGTGAATGAAGTGACCAGTGTTTCCATACAGCCATTCTGTGTGCCGATGAAGATAAAAATGTGATCTATACATATGCCGTCATTTATCTGCCAGAATCACAGCAATGCAAATAAAGATTTTATTTAATATAAATAGCTAACTTTAAACGACAAGACAACGTGAAATATCATCATTAAAACAAATTGGGGAACAAAACTTGTACGTGTATTGCAAATAGTACATGAGTAGCTATTATGACAGTTACAGTAAATTACAATCATGATGAGCAGGAGACAGTAGGCTGTGTCTAATTTATTTATTTTAATCCATGAGGCCAGATGACCTCGGATCCGTGTTCATGCGTGCCAGACTGTCATCCTGTGTATCACTTTCTGCTTTGGATGTAGCTTTCTAAAATCCTCATCAACAAGTCCGCCTCCTGAAACAGAGTCCATAGCATCAAGTTCAATTACAAAATCATTTCAATCATTTTTGTGCGCAAAAACAGCTTGGACATTTCTGGTAGGCTACTCACCGGATTTTTCGAGCGGCTCTCTTGTGGATCCACCTGCGCTTGTAACGCCAGCCGCAGGAACTCTTGGAAGAGCTCCCCGAGAGCGCTCTGCTCCCTGGATAGGGTGACTTCCAGCGCATCAGCACCCTGCCCCTCAGCTGAAGGCAATAGAGGGGTATCCATCACGCTCTTCTTGCCCATGAAATGTCCTGCCAAATCAGAGAAAACGCTTGTTAATGACTTGAATTAATCTGGAGGAGTGAAAACCTCTTAGGGACGTGACAAAATCAACATCCTTAGAGGCAGAACATGTTATCGTGTAAAAATAAATCTATTTTATGTGGAACATATATGAAATTAGACTCATAAGATTCCATCCATTCCAAACATGACCGATTATTCCATAGATGTTAGTTTAGATGATAATTCTTACCTGTAGCCCAAAGATTGCCTCTTGGATTGACTTTAATTTTTGCTACTTTATTCCTAAGTTCAGTCAGGTCAAAACTCACTGCGGCGGTAAAAGACATGAAAGAAAATATGACAAGATAAGTAAATAAGCCACACTGGCAAACATTATTCATTGTAAACCGTCTCATCTCAACGCGGAGTGGCGTCCTCTCAGGTACAAGTTTCCAAGTCTCTCCTGTTGGTCGTGAATAGCACAGAGGCATCCCGCTTTTATAGGCTCTCATGAGGGGGTGGGCTCTGTTTTTGTTGCGTGTACTTTTTATTCCGCCAGCTGCATAAATCGAAATGTGCGACTCATTGTCAAGGTTTCGTTGGACCGCGCCTCTGGCTGTGCGTCTTTTACGCACAACACGATTTATCTATAACTCAGGGCAGATACGAATGTTTGCTGAAAAACTGTTCTCTCAGCCACCCAACTTAATGAACAGCAATTTACAATTGCGCAAATGTTCAGTTGGGGTTTGATTAACTAAGGTTTGATTTCATTTTCGCCTGTTAACGGGTAAAATGATTTTCAGAAGTTTTGGGGGATGAGTACACGTTATGGATGGAGGTGCCCTGCTCAAGCAGCAGCTAATTATTCTCAAATAAATTTATTTGAGAAAAGGTCCCTCACATATATTCATCATGCTGTGACAAGTCTTAGTAAACCAAAAAAAAGATAATATGCCACAAAAGTATATTGCAACCATTAATAAAATCTCCATAAACACTGAAATAACGTCTTAGAGGTTGAAGCCCTGTTTAGAGTAAATTGTGTGTCAAAATGCCGAAGGCTATAGCTAATGCTTCCTTCTAGAGCAACACATAGTAATCTCCTGCCCAGGTCCCCCTACCCCCTTCAGCTCCTGTGGCCAGGCCTGGCCCCTTACAATGAGCAACATGACATTTGGCCAGTTGAAGCATGCTGCTGTGATCACCATCAGTCCTCTGAGGACATGAGAACCTGCTGATTCTCTCTGCTAATTTAGAGCTGATAAGACAGAAGGCCTCTTTGTCACTTCAGGGTGCTAAAGTCGCAAGTTTAGTGGAAGGCTGCAGCTAGTATCTTGCTCTTTTCATAACCTTTGGCATTCACACACATATTTTTAATTAGTATGTCTAATTAGAAGACTATCTGACCAACACAACATCACTAGTCACAGACTAGGTGAACTGAGGCAGCCAATGCAACACTGCATTTACATTAAAATACACGATGGATATTTGCATCTCAGCCTCAAAACAAGTGATTCATAGAGCAAGAGACACAATTACACTAGAACACTTTGCTTTGTTCCCTTAGGGCGTTACCATAATGGAAAACTGACAGAAGTAGAAGTTCATGCTCATTCCACAACTGGCACTGCAACTGTCCAAAGATGATCTAAAAAAACAATTACATTTCAAAGGACACCGATTAAATCTTGGTTTAATTTCCTAATCCATGTGTGATTTCTCACATCTAATCGTGGCCACAATCGTAAGCACACTGTTTTTATGACGAGCTGTAAAAGGTAGCAGCAGTAAAAAAGCCCCACCAAACATACTACACGGTCAAGCTCGTTGAGATATAATGGAAGAGAGCAGAATGCATTCAATTTAAGTGAAAGTTCAAGCACCTTGATAGTGTTTCAAGTGGACGCATATAAAAATTATATATTGATCCATACGTATGATTACATCCAGGTGTTGGACAGTCTCTGCCAACTTCACCTCGACTGAAAGAACCCTTAAGTGTCAAGAGTATGGTCACATTGCATCAGAGAAGAGAACCGCAACAAGGTTAGTGCTCAAAGCACATCTGCACTAATGAAAAGTCCACAGTCCACTTAGAAAGAGGCAGAGCCAGTGCTCCACTCCAGTGACCTTTATATAAATTATCTTATAAAAACAGTTAAATGGATAAAAAAAGATGTAGCCACAGTAATCTCTCCACGTGTAACATGTCTTTTTTTACATTTCCAGATCACTACTGTTCTTTCACTTAAGAAAATGTTTTTAATTCCACCACTCTGTTGTGGCCGTTAATGTAGAACAGTGGCCAAAAGAAAATGAGAAACAGTTGAAATAATCCATAGTGGATGGTAACCAGATTTCATATTTAATATCATTCATATTCAGTTGTCATAAAATACTTCACATATCTTTTTCAAAGACAATGACTCAACAGGAAAGAAACAAGACTTAATTTATCTTGATGAATGCTCTTTCACATTCAAATGATTGATTACAAATAAAGATCAATTTCAACCTAAATCTAGCCTAGTTCCCTCACAAAAATATTTTAAAGCTTGGATTTTTCAAATGTAAACACCCTATCCACATTTCTACAAAATGTTCAAACAAATGGTACAAAAGAGCCAGTTGGGTTTGACAAAGTCTAACTTAATTCTGTTTTGAAAGGCATGACTGAGGTTTCCTGGACGTAGTTCATTCTTCTTGAGTCCCGAAGTTTGGGTACCTCACTCCCGATGGACCAACACAAAGAGACCGAGCATGAAGAGAACAGCATACTGCAGAACGAAAACACAGGAGATTTAACAAATTAGACAGTCATGCTGAAAATGTTGAAGCTTAAAAACTAAGCAAATCTTGTCAAATGAGATGTGGGGGTCAACAAACTTACTTTGAACTTGGGGTAATCATTCATGAGAATGGTCACGATTCCAATGTATGGCACAAACCTGGAGACGACATAAATGCGTACGGTCAAGAAATTTCATTGATGCATAATTTATGCCAGTTTGTAACGGATGACACTTCCAACAGTACTTCTTTCAGTCACTGAATTAAAAAAGTTCATGATGTTTGCTGCCATAAAAGGAATGTAATCAAGACTTTACAGAAAGCAGAAATGAATTGGACCTAAGCAGTGAAATTAGAAATCTCTGCTACAAATAGGGTTGGGCGATCGTCTCTATTTTCATATCGTCTATTGATCTACCGATTGGCGATCTGATTGCCAGGGGCCAGTTTTACGTTGCAGCAAGTCAGTGAAATGCCTGGAAGCATGGAAGAAAAAGGCTTATTAGCTTTAAGAGAAACCACCAGAAACATCTGTAAATGCCCAGTACAGTGTTTCCCATAGTATTACTGTGCAACTCTGGCGCCGCGCGGGTAGGGGGTGCAATCAATATTGAACGGCAGCTATGTACTGCGTGCTAACCTTGACAACGCAGCTGTGTTCTAACATTAACATAGCTATCCTTATTAGCTAGGCTCCTTACTTGCTTGCTTATAACTTATTTGAAGGTGGACATTGACAGCGTTGTGTTAACAAAAATAGATAGACTGACTTCTTAGAGTTTACTTAAATGCTTTAGTTTCTCTATAAACACGCGGCTCCGTTTCCAAGACAGAGACAGCACGGAGGTTCTGAGCGAATCTATGCGCTGTGGTCAACTCCGCAATGAATTCTGATTTTACTACTATTTAATAGTATACATGGCAGTGAGAATTGATATTGAGGCGTGTGTCGGCATAAATAAATCAGTGAATGGGAAACAGTGTGGAGCAGATTCTAGAAACTTTTTATGTCATCTTAGTTCTGATAGTGAGTTAGTTAAAATCGCCTTTGACGCATGAAAAAACAATCGCTGATCATTCCTTCAATTGTCAATCGGAACAAGCCTAGCTACAAATAAAGGTAAAACATGGCAAAATAACTTAAATTCAGAGAGAAAGAAAGAGGGCACACTCATGAAAAACAATTAGAAGAAACCTTTCTGGGATGAACATCTGCTCAAACATAAACCAGTGTTCAATTCCTTTCCTGTCTTTAAGGGATGTATTTCAGTTGGACGGCTATCACTCGGTCCCTGATGGTAACTGTGTGTGTGTGTCACTAGGGCAAAGCAGTGACCTGCACACCGACTTGTTATCAGTTTTTTGTATGTAACAGAGAGGGAGTGAGTAAGGAGCAATTATTGCATCACACAGAGCATCTATTAAGGTAAAGGTGGGTGTTTTTTATCTCCACAATAGACAACCAGAACGAGCCATGCTCTTTGTCTCCACATGCCGTGGACGTGCCGTATCTAACAGACCTCCCTACACTATCCCTCTCATCTGGACAAGCACTGCTGAAGAGGATGACTTGCCTAAGCCCTACCTTGTTCAATATAAATTAACTAGCAGAGATGATAGAACAATCCTAATCCTCAAATCTTAAACAGCAAAGATGTGAAATTGCTGTTTTGCATATGACCTTGTCAGTTTATCTCCAAACAAAGACAATCTAGGCCATATTCCTCAAGTCCATTGAAGTGTTTCTTTTATTGTAGAAAGGATGATTCCTTAAAAGTAGGGCTGCACGAATTGGGAAAAAATTCATATTCCGATTATTGTGGAGAATATTACGATTTGATTTATAATGGAACAACTGGTACTATGAGTCTACTTGCTTGATTTTGAAGGAAATGCACAAATACTGACATTATGAAATGTGTATTTCTCAACTTGAACAAAGTTAAACGATCAACAATATTTATAAAAATAACTAGTAAAACAGATGTAAAACTGAACAAGGGGAGTGTGTTGCTCTCAGGAGGAGGCAGCTAGAAGGAGCAAATATTGGCACACTGGCATCCTGGCTCTGGCTAAATCTACATCTGTCCACTGCAGAGACACTATTCACAACCTGGAGGAGGAGTTAGTATACATGAGTGTTATAGTACAATATTATAACGTTAAATAAAGAGCATAATGTTCAGTTAAAAGTATACTGTTAGTAGACTATAACAATAATATATTAATTGCTGTATTCATTATAATTTCATATAATAGTATACTATTTTACCCCTAATCGAATATTAAATCCAGTTACAGCTGTTTCATTTCTGTGGGTTGTTTTTATGTATTTAATTTTATAAAAGAAAAATTATCTATATGGGTCTCTAATTTGTTAAGGCTATGTACTAACTATTCAATAATCATATTGTTCAACATTTAAAGATTTGCTGTAGCACATCAAACTTTTTTTAATGTCCCGCCCCATCCATCCTGTGATTGGTCGGTTGATGAAAACTGACTGACAAACACGTCGGCTCTGTGAAAAGTTCAACATGTTGAACAACATAAGGCACCAATACAGCTAACTGTTTTCTTCTGTCTCTGTCACAGAGCGACAGGTGTCCTTCTGTCGGTGCTCCAGTGGCGATTCCGATTATGTTCTGAACGACTAGCAGCGAGGCCGGGAGGGGGGTTGTGGTAGGTTGTTGACTTAAAAGTTACTAGCACACTGCTTATGAATAATTTTTCTGATTGCATATCTGTTTTTAGAGGCACGTGCGAGAACGGTGTGGCCGTGGATATTGAGCAAACTGCAGCGCACATAGACAAGAGAGTGTGACACACTTTCTGTTTTATTAAATCGCACCCGTTTTGCGGTTATGTAATAATCGCACATGACGACATTGCGATTACAATTAGATTAATCATGCAGTCCTACTTAATACATCTCTGCTCGACTTTTCAACATTTAATTGGCTGCAATTCTCCTCCATATTTGAGTTGTACACATATTAATTATCTGTCCCATTACATTATTAAAATGTCTGTACTAATATGGACTTTCCCCAAACAATGTACTTACCCCCTAGCTCGTCCCACCACATCTTTTTTCTCCAGCCAGTGTTGGCCCTGCTTGTACAGTCCTCTGTCATCCACTGCATTGTTGTCTCCTTTGGTCAAGAACTTAATGTCTCCATTTTCCCTGTGGAAAAAGTGTCAGCGTGATTTTATACCACAACACACTTCAAGTCCTATTTTTCACTACATCTGTGTCTGGGTGGGGATTCATGACACGTGTGAAATATTACAGAGCCGTCTCTGAGCATTTTTAGATAACCTTTCAGTACAGTTCAATACTATCGATGGCATTCTCAGGTTTGATACAGAGGTGTGTGACTCAGTGACACTGAAAGTACAACTTAATCATGGACAGCACCACTGATTAAATGTGTATTCATACTTTTCATGAATCTTCAGTACTCTGTGTACTATTGGGATCTCTCTGCCTTCTATCCTGAAGACAACAATCTCTCCCACTCTGATAGGATCCTCTACCCGGTTGGTCAGAAACAGCAGGTCTCCTCTGTGGAAAGCTGGCTCCATACTGCCACTGAAATGATTTGGTAGATGAGCATCATCAAAATTAGTTAGAATCATTTAGATCAATTCAATAGTGTGTTTCCACTTAATTGATAATATGTCATGCCAATCGCAACCTCTGTTTAACAGACATAATCCACAATGCGTGGCAGCAAATTATTATGTTTGCAAAGCCACAAGGAGGTATTAACAACGATTTTCTATGTGACTGCTCAACATTACATTACATGACTTGGATTAAGACCATAAAAAAAAGAACAACTGGATCAGGTTATCTATGGACAACCCTAATCACCAGCAGTCAAACTGGCATTTTACTGCCTGCATAACTTAAAAGTAAAGGTAATGTGACATGATAAAACTAAATACATATTTCAGCCAAAAGAATGACCTGACTAAAAGATCATTTGGCAGAATAATCATTAATTGCAGGGAATTACAAGCCATAACATATAAAATAAAATAAAAAACAGTACAATCTTACTCATCCTAACAGGATGATCAACAGGTCAACAGTTTGTTGTGTGTTATTGTTCACAACAGACTACTGTAGAATAGCAACAGGCATGAGAAGGCATTATCACACAGCTTAACAAAACTTTACTTTTAGTAAATTACGTACACACACTTTCACAGAATCAGGAAGTCATTCTGTTCTAAATGTTGTGCAATAGAAGGATCCTTTTTGACGAGAACTTGTATTTAATATATTTTCTAGGGCTGCAGCCAACGATGATTTTAGTACTCCAAGGTTCTACAGATTATTTCATCAATTCATCGTTTAAGTACTTTTGCTTAGCACCAACCCAAACTCACGGCCCAACCAGGAGAACAACAAACGCACGTGTGCACATTTTCAGCTGAGGATTGCGGCTTACTTTGGCTAGCCTTCAACTCAACAATCAACGATGGTTTCAGTTAAATTCTAAAGTTGCTGTTACCTTGTCTTGTCATTTTACGGTGGACGGACTGTGACATTACAGAGTTGTTGTTTTCTTGAAATAATAACTTTATTCTTCGTCCCTTGTTGTTTTCTCTCTCTTCCTCCACTTTGCAAACAGCGCCATCATGATCACGTCATGTTCACACGTCGTAAGCAAATTTGAACCCCCAAAACAATAATCGGACCTAATATTATGGTTGGGGGGAGCTATCATCTGCATGATGCCAACAGTAGCTTGCCTATTATAAATATATAACCTACTGTCCTATTCTGAGCAAAATGTGTATTTCCATGCAGAACTCAAAACCCTAGGAATTTCTTTACTACTCACTACACTAACTCTCATCAGCAGACATAAGAAATGGCCAATTAAGGCAAAACAAGACTCAAAATCCTAAAACACACATGGCTCAACTTACCTGAGAACAACAACTATTGGGCTCTCACTGCCAGTGACAACCATGAGTCCCTTCCAGATCATCAGCGCAGAGGAAACAATCATACCAAAGTTCAGCACCTGGTAATAGAGCTGGATACAAAATTAAAAATATTAAAATTGCATTTCTAATCACAACCCTTCCAAACATAAGTGTGCCTTTAACTTCTAAGTGTAAATAAGACAATTTCAGGTATAAACTAGCTCAAGACCAACTTTGTAGTTCCAACATATGTTTGAGACAACATTAAATTCACTGCAGATTCATTGGTGACTGTTAAACATATCAGGCGTTAGACTTTAACGTGGCTAACAATGCAACGTTAGTGTGGTAAAATGAGGAAAACGGCTAAGTTAGCTACACTGAAGTCGGGAACATCGCTTACGCAAGGTTTCCAGGTGTCTTTTAAGCTGTAGTATAAAGGGCACCTTTTGAAAGACACGTCTGCATAAAACAGTTCACTTTAAGGTTTCCTAACAAGTGACAGAGAGGCTGCACCGTTAAAAAGAGGTCGGCGGCTAGTAAGGTTAGCTGTGAGGTCTCTTACAATACAAAGAGGCGGCGGTCGCACCATCACAGTAAAACTAATGCTCGGGTACCTACCTGCCGCTTATTCATGCGACGAACATCGTCAAGAAAGTCTAAAGATAACATTGTTGCAAATACTACTGGGTAGAAAAAGCACCTAAATCACATTAAAACGTTTAAAGTCACGAGCATATGGATGCACGGTCGAACAGTTAAACTTGCATCCGAATCTTCCGGGTGCGCTCAACCGGAAGTCCCGCCCTCCTGTGAGCTCAGGGTTGAGGTGTCAGTTCAGGATACGAGAGAGCAGAGGGGGGTTTCCAAAAGCACCAAACTCCACACATCTGAAGTGAAACGTGTTGCTGCCTCTGTTTGTCCAGCAGTGTTTCACAGTGGTTTAAGAACAGCCAAGAGGTGCTGTTAATTCATGAGACTGTCACATTAAGATAAGGTAATGTGATGATTTTTGGCTAGCCTATCTGAATAGCCTAAATTAATTATTATATTTTATGGATGTTTCTAGATAGACCTTACATTTCTTGTAGATGTTGTGTTGTAAATATGTTTTGTAGATTGAAGCCATGCAAAGCCATGCGGATCAGAGCTTTTGACATCCAAACTAATCAATCCAGGCGGCTACATTCATCATTAGCTATACATTTTCCTTCAGTGCACTCAAACATTCTGCAGCTGTGGTAATTAATTTAGGCAGGCCTAAATGCAACATATAAGCAATAAAGTTAAATATGCTTATGCCTGCCTATGTCTATTTCCAGCAACAACTGCATTAATTTGGAGTTGTTTCAATAGCCTGAGGCAGTGTTAATTTATGAGAGGGTTACATTAAGATAAGATAAGATGATGATATGAAAAGATGATAATATAAAATAATGTGATGATTATTGATTTTAAACAGCAGGAAAACAATTATAGCCTAAATTAATTATTATATTTGTATGGATGTTTCTAGATAGATAGAACGTCCAATTCTTGTAGATGTTGTGTTGTAGATATGTTATGTAGACCGAAGCCATGAAAAAACATGCGGATCAAAGCTTTTGACATCCAAACTAATCAATCCAGGCGGCTAACTACCTCAGTGTTAACTGGTCTGCAGACTTAAAGCTTAGTTTTGTCAATTTATAAACAATGAGCTGAAATGTTCTCAAACAGTCTGCAGCATGCAGTAATTACTTTATGAATATGCAACATGTAAGCACTAAAGTGAAATAATTATGTTCTCGAAACTAGATTTTGACAGCGCCCCTATTCAAGACTGAGCCATCAAATCAAATTTTCTATTGAATTTGTGCAATTTGCTCCCTCTGTCTATTTCCATCAACAACTGCATTTGTTGTCATTTGAAGTTGTCTTTCTCCTTAGAATAATATCTGGCTTATCTTTAGCTGCTAAATGCAATAATTTCTTTACTAGCTAGTGGCTAACTTTGTCCATCATCTGGTGCTGGGCGTGAAGCATTCATTGATGAGTTTATCTGAACTTTTTTTTTGTTGCTGCCTGCTGCTGTTAGAAATGAGGTTTATGAGAGCAGTGAACCAAAACGCTGATAGCCTTGCCGATATTTCTCTGGTAATTTGTCTCTACAAGCGACTTCTGTCAGGTTGCACATAGTCATTTGAGCCATCGTTTTGATAAAAATATTGATGAGTGCAGCTTTAAAAAAACATTTACAATACAAACAGAGTAGCCTCTCTGTTTATAATTGTGAGTCAAATGAAGTAAGGCTTACAATCAGTGATGTGGTTGTCATGAGTCAGCAGGTTTCATAAACCAAACAACCACCAATAAAAACAATCACTCTGAATTAATAATTTATGGCATATTAATGGCTGCCTTTAAAGGTGGGTAAGCTCTGTAGTGCAAATAAATCAGTGCATAAAGTCAGTGTCAGGTGAGTTTATTTTCCATTCCAACCTTAACATCTGGACTGTCTCTTAATCAAAATTGTAATAATCTAACTCACAACAAAGAAAGATCTCAGCGAGAACCTTTTATTACTACTAATTATTAACTGCTTTCTTTTTTCATGGATCGCATCTAATTTCCTAGAGGAAGCGAGTCTCACTGAGTAAGTGATAACATTATTAGTCACTTCACATCTGAAACTCACCAGCCATTACTGGTTGTTGACTCTGTGGGGATTATTAGTAACACATATGTTTGAGCCATCATTAAAAAGTCATGTTTTATGTTAGGATATACATGTTGTTGTCATTTATGACTCATACTTAATTATATTCCCCCCCTCCAGTAATTAAAAGTTCATTTTAATGTAACAATAGATTAATAGAGACTATGCTGACTGTGTGTTTTTCTGAACTGTGTTTTGTTTCTATCTGTTTAGTTTTCCTCGGGACACATCTATTATGACAGAGGCTATGTCATACTAACATGGTGTTTTGGAGATTTACCCTATAATAAATTGTAACCCCAAAGACTTAAAATAAAATAAAAATGCTCTGTCTTTTTAGTAGTTAAGTTTTTAATCTGTTTTGAAAGGATTGACATCTAATTTTGTAACAAAACTTTTCAGATATATGTGCAATCTGTTCAGCATCCAAGTGCACTTATGGAGTATTATTCATTATTCATTAATGTCTCTTTCTAACCTCAAATTATTCTTTCAATTCAACATTTGTTTTTCTTGTACACATATACTCTATTCACTAAAGAGCAAAATGTAACTCAAATTTAAATTAAAATGTGGCTTTCTGAATTCATACTTCCATATAGGCTGAATCTATATCTGCAAAGCAGTGTCTGAATGCTGTATGCAAAACTGAATTTCACAGTTGGTTTATGATGGCTTAACACTCCCTCAGATTGCATTGATCTCTTAACATCTTACTAATACATTTGCCATGCTTCGTACAGAGGATGTTGTGGTTGCTGCATATCCTTTATCAGTTTTACTGCCACCCTTCTCCCCTGAGCAGAGGAGGGCAGTAGTTGTATGGTGATCCCAACAGTTTTTCTAATGATATTAAAGACTCATGTTTTGATTGTATGTTGTGTGGTCTTTAACTCCATCCCACCAAAACCACTGAGCAACATTGTGAAAACCATAATTAAGTCACCCAGTAATGCTGTTTAAAGGTTGTGCACAAGGCCCCTTGAATATGAATATCCCTGCCGGGTTGGACTGATACCAGGCGATAGCCCAGGTATTTTGTTGTAGATATTATTGGATTAGAAATTATATATTATCTTGAGATCCAGGTGCCAGAAGATGTGGCTGTGGTGAGCTTTATGCTAAACATAATTGAGCAGATTTTTTCTTCTGTTTAGCAGCATATTGTTTACTGCTGTGCTTCCATCTAGTATGCTCACCTCCTCTTCCTCTGCAGTATTTGAAAAGGAGATAGCACAGCGCTATTGGACAGCGTTTCATCATGTGCATATCTGTATTTTCTGCACTCTGCATTTAGACAACACTGATTTTATTCAGATTTAGCCTTTAAGTTCCCCCGTGAGAGGAAATAATGTGAGATATGCATCAGAAAATCATTATTTCATAGTCAGCAAAAGCTTGCTGTGATGTGGCAGATTAACTCGGCACTGACAGTCAACTTTGCGATGGCACAGAGACCAGTGGCAGCCTGCGACTTTTGGTGGACTGTAGATAAAACTTTTTTCAAATGCCAACTAGTCTGTGGCATTTAGGGACGTGTGATCCTTTTCATAGAATCTGCCTAAATGGTCACAACTACCCTGGCCCGCCAATGGTAATTGAGGTCATTCAGGTACAACAATGTGAGGTCAGAATCACAGGCAGCCTTGTGAGAGAGTGGTTCTTAGATGTCACGCTTGCCAGTTGCTGTTTCTATTTGTCATTGTTTTTCCATTTGATTTACTGAGATGTTATTCTATATCCAGGCATAACCATACATAATGTACAGCTTTTTTAGACAATTTTTCTGCTTTCTGTTGCTGCTGTTATGTGTCAAAATTATCAAAAAGATTTTTTGTGTGGAGCATATTTTTACATGTTGCCACATAATGAGCACGAATGTGAGACTGAACTCTGCAAATGTGTTTAATGTGCTAAAGACCCGGTCTCTGAGCACGAGATCTTCATATTAACTCAACATTATGTTCTATTAAATGAAATTGCAATTACGGCCTAAATGAACACACAAGATTTCTACAGTTGGGGACTAACAATTCTCTCATTTGATGTGTCTTATCATGGGTATTAATGCTGAGATTACTGTGAGTGATCCAGAGCTCTTTATAGCATTCAGTCCGACGTACTCAGTGCAGCAGTAAGAGCTGTGCCAATGAATCTTTCCTCTGTAATTTCTGCGATTTGCTCATAATTTCTCCTGTCATGCCTTGCACGAAACTCTTTCGGATTAAGGTATGGCTCATTGTCTGACATTATTCCTGTCAGACAAATATAATTTTTTTTAAATAGACAAAGATTCTGATGACGTGAAGACATCTTACAAAGTGAGCATGGTTAGGTAAGAGATGATTTTAGTTAATTTCCAAAATAATGTAGATTTTACATATATTTGTCACTCCGTGACAGTATTGCGGATATGCAATGCGTGACACAGACAGTGAGAAACCACTTTCCCAGATAAATCAAACATTTACCTCAGAATCTCCATATAAATAGTTTGGTCAAATTAAAACATTTGATAGTGCAAATAAACATTTTACTTGTATCTTATTTTCATCAATGGTACGGTGACTGAACTAACAGTAGGTGGCAGGAGTGTCTTGCTTCATGATAGGCCCAATCTTCTCCATGTTGTTATCACACCTCAGTTACACTATTGTTACCTCTGCGACTCATCATCTACGAGACCTCCCTAGTGGCTGGTTCAAACATACACCCACGTCTTCTGAGTAAAGTAGTGAATGGAGTTCAGTATGCTGTGGACAAACTGATAGAAAACAATTAATTACCAGATGTCATTCAGCTTTATTTACTGTTAATGAAAGGGTTATCCTTGTTGTTACAGAAGATGGTGCTGCAGTATTGCAAGTGTTATTAACTGCTTCTCAAGTGAATATCATGCATAGGCTTATTTTATTGCATTTTGTTGCAAATAGTTATATACTGTAGGCAGACAAGCTATAAGGTAATAAGGTATTTTTCACTTGTGTCTGTAGTTCACTTTAGAGGTGAACTTTAGTGTCAAGGATTCCTATTGTACTGACAGTTCTTCTAATTTGGTCCTGCTGTGTGTGATATGTCACAGATTATAACAGAATGGTAGCGTGTAAGAAATATGGGCAACATAACAGAAGCTACCTCACACTAAAGCCTGTCATCGCTTCCTTCTGTTGACACCATCTGACCCTGTCATGCCACTGGACAACATCAGAAGTGACACTCAGTGAACTTTTTTGTTATGCGTACATTTAGCTTCACGGCACTGTTCACACTTGTGCATGAGGCCACCGATTACATAAACGATGACTCACTAATGACTGGGAATCACAAATGATTATCATGATGAAGTTAGCCTTTCACCCTGTAAACACACACTGGTTGCAAGCAACACTTCAGTCTCGAATATCTGTGAAAGAATCCCATTTGCCCCTGAGTGGTAGCGCTATTAAGCATGCAATGGCTGAAACTACATAACACACTACAGCATAAAGTGATTAATCATGTAGTGCATTTATAGCAAATGTGTACAAATTATTATGGCTTAGTGTGTGAAAATACAATGTCATTTTTAGCCATGCTAGCGTTCAGTCTGTTGGTTGGTCAGGCCACCACTTTTGTCCAGGCTGAAATATCTCAAAAACTATTAGATGGTATTCCATTTGTATGACTTTAACTGTAGCATCACCATGTCTCAACAACGATTGGAGGGATTGCACACACATAGAATAGAATAGGATATTTCTTTGCTGGAGGATACTACAGATCATTTGTAAAATTCTGATAGTAGCTGGGAAAAATATAGGTAAAAATAAGGTGTTGCTTCACTAAAATTACCTAAAAGAATTAGCCCAAATATGGGAAGCCTTTTCATGAAAGCCATGCTAAAAATAATGGGTGCATGTCAGTGTGGTGACAGAAAAGAAATGTGACAGTCCTCTCACATGATAGGCGTCACTAAGATAACACCGGGTCACTTATCTTTCTAAACGATATGCGTATATGATAATGAGTGACTGCTGATGTCAGATAGACTGAGTGGGATGGTTTTCATCACAGTGATTCAGCCCTCTTCATAAAATGCTAATTTCTATTAAGAATGACATTCAGAATTTCAAAAGCACGTCATGCACTTTCCCATCATCTCCAAACGCACAAGGTGTAATCATATATTTTATTTTACAGCCAGTTGCATTCAAAGGTGCAGTTCCTAAAAATGCAGTGCAATGTAGAATAGCAAGTAAACATGACAGGTTACAGTATGAAAGCACAGCACCATTAGCCACTGTACAACAGTGTCATGTGAGGCTACATTTGGCTTGATACATTCCTGGGGGGAAAAGGCTGTTTGCTCCCAGCTCATGGTTCTTAACATTCACAAAGGTGACTACAAATGATACATGTTTGTGCTATCCCAGTGCAAATTACACAGACTACCTAAAATGCCACGTCATTTCAAAATGTTTCATCTTGCACATTAATTTAGTATAGTCTGACCTGAGATTGGGACTCACAATCTGTGACCTACAATGGTACATGGATTGATACAATGCAAACTCAGGAAAGCTACTCACTACTACAATGTAGTTTCAACCCTAAGATTTGTTGTGTACAATGTACAATGATGTACATTGTACACAACAAATCGATCAATGTACAATCGATAATCACAACAACATGCGAGGGCATCGATCTGCAATAAGTAATAATGGCAAGGAATGGTGGCTGTTAAATAGTTAAGTCATGTTATTTACAGTATATATCTCTGTCCTGTTCTCTGAAGGTTTTACACCTCTCTTAAAAATAAAGGTGTCATCAGCCCTGTTTCTGTCTCACCGTTCCTTCTGGGCTGTTTTGCTGATATGTACCAACAGTGAACCATTTCCGCTTTCTGGTTCAGCATGGAGAAACTCAATGGGATTTGAGTCCATTGAGAAAATCTATGATCTCTGACGTCTTATTGAGTGATAATTACTCTATTCCATCTTAACAACTTTGGGAGGATCAGCAGCTTTTTGTTTAGTTGGGGTCTTTCTGCCCTCTTGCTCAGTCTTCCTGGGCAGTCTGGGGCTGCCAGCAGCTTTCCGGCCTGTCTGAGGGCTGGAGGAGCCAGCACCTGTTCTGCGTTGAATTAACGGGCTTCTGGAGCCCTTGGCCTTCGTTGGCGTTAATAGAGAGTCCATGACCTTTAGTGACCTCAGGCTGAGCAGACCACAGAAGTAGTTACACTGGTGCTGGGAGACAAATTGCTCAAAAACTTTGGGATCCCCTTCAACAGATAGACCTTGATTCCTGCACCAACACAACAAAGGCAAATGTCACAGTCGTGATCCGTATAAATGTAAATTACCTGTAAAATTAGGGTTTCAGAGAGTAATTTACAGAAACAAAACAATACAAATAAACTAACCCCGTTGATTTGACTGAAATTCCAACATTGGTGATCTTGGTGTCAACACCTGCAAAATAACATCATGCAATTACTTTTTTTGTTGTTCAGGTAATATATTCAAATGTGACAGACATGCACATTAACTCCAGCAGTAAAAACAAATTACAAATACAAGTTAAGTTCTCAGAACACAACATACTTAATATTTTATCATAAATTGAATGCTGCATAGCAAATTGTGTGTAAGTATTAGTAGTAAAAAATGTCTCTCGCACATTGCCTTATTGTGAGCAATATTTAACTTTTAGTTCACTCATTCACCAGTTTCTTCAATATGCTACTGATTTTAACACAACATTAGGAAAGGAAAAAGATACATTTCCCATTGAGTCAGCCTACCTTCTAGCCGAGTGAGTAGCAGATTGCCATTGGTCCACTGAAAGACCCAGTGCTGCAGGGCACAACACTTCTGCTCCACCTCAGAGTCAGT